TTGTTTTTTGTATTTATTTTATCATACAGTATTTCTATAAAAGCCTTCAAAATTGTGTTCCCAAATGCTCAAATTTTTATTTTACGTTACTTCGCTCTTTTTTTTTTTTTATCAAGAGTACATGCTCCCAAGTTATAAAACAATAAAATTAATGAACAATACCAGAAATGAACAATCCATAATTAATTCTTTTGCAAAAAGAAATTTATTGATTTTTACATACCATTGTTTCTCGTACTATTAATCAGCCCTTTGGTACGCTACTAAAATTAACAAGAGGAGAAATAAATGCTTCCTGTTCCGCTTATTCAGATTAAAGTATTTTCCAATGATATAAAATGTAATACGTTTGAACTTTGTTTATCAGGATTTAACTAACAAACTAAACGAACGGAGCAAACACTCTTTGTTCCACTTTCTGCATACAAGCATGTTATAATATGTTTTCAATCCTAGGGCACTATTTGCTCAAAGAAAATTAATTTAATCTAACGACGTTACAATCTCAATATTTTCTTATAGTACTTATAATATAATATAATACATAATATTTATATAGTATATTATAATACTTATAGTATAATATATATACTTATAATATAATATAATATATAGTATTTATATAGTACAAAATTCATTTTTTAATCGTTTATTAATCAATTAATATCATTCTACATTTTTTTAACTACCTTTAGTCACAATTTCCTTTTGCAATATAAAATTAAAATAACTTTCAGAAGTTCTTAAAGTTCACTTTTAAAGTAAAATTGGGTGTTATGATGCTAATTTACACTCGCTTCCTCGACAAAAATTCTCATGTGTTACGGACATTACAAGAGATGAGACAAATCGTGTTTTGGCTACATAAAACGATGAATAAAATTTGAGCGAAACTGTTGTATAGGATGACCACTGAAAAACTGAAGGGTTTGAAAAATTCATCAAAAAAATTTTAATTCATAAAAATTCACACATAATACCGAAAAAAATCCATTAATCATATTTTAAAGTAAAATAATAAAAAATTAAAAAACCATGTGCTTGTAAAAGTTATTTTTGTTTTATATCATTCAGTTTTTCAGTAACCACTATATACATATCAAAGAAATATAAATATAAAAAGAAAAAAAAATAGTACGTTCTGTAATTCGGGATACTTCCAACAAAGAGTTGCTTCGAAATGCATCTTTTGCCTACTACTGCTTTGACGCAATACACTTGTTTGCACATAATTTCAAATCCGTATATTAGATCTTAAAAAATGTTTTTGCACTTTTTATTATTATGAATTGAAATACTGTAATCTTTTAAATATAAAATTAATTCCACGAAATATTTTTTTTTCTTCTTTATTCAAATCATGTGTACTCTTTTTTTTTATAAATTCAATTATTTGACTTGTAAAGCAGTCAGTTAAATAAGTTTATATGTTGTTTGGTTATCAAAGGTTTCGTGCCTTGTGTTATTTCATAAGTCACGAAAACGGAAATAATTTGAAAGTGAAATGTAGCAGTCGAAACGAAACCTACCAAATAAAGCAAAGTAGAGCAGATTTTTATTTTCTTATATTCTTTAATTCGTTTAATATCTTCCATATCTACTCTACTGTGTGTATTTGGACATTTCTAAGTTATTGCAAATGTAAAATACAATTTAAATGAATCTCCTTAATAAAAAACACTCATACAGAATAAATAATATATTTAATAACATAAATAATACAATTAATATGTAAAATGTAAATATATTAATATATTAATAAATAACGTATATATAATATAATAACAATTAAAATTCTGAAGATTGCAGAATGATTTTAAGTAGGCACATATGTCCCTTTTATAAAAATTTTAGAACGATTGAAATATGTGTTTCTAATTAGAAAGTTAATTATTTATTAGAAATGAATATGAAATTTGAAAATGCAGAAAATTATAATAATTGATGAAACGTAACAAAAATATCAATTTTATGATAAATATCTTTTATATTATAAATATCCAATTATTTATGCACGATAATACATAATTTTATAGAATCAAGTGATTTAAATTAATATAATACTATGGCAATGAATGTGTCACAGTGGTGTCACATGAGTACACCTTAATTTTTTCAAAAACCAAATCAATCAACTCTAGTTTTTACAAAATTCTGTTTTTCATTACTTGAGCAAGTAATTAATGTTCAATATTAGAAAAGTAAAGGACTCAAATTTACTTATTTAAAGGAAACAGAATATATAGAAACAAAAGCAATTCCAATTAATTAAATTACAAATAAGTAAATTTAAAAATTAATATTCACGATTGTTGTTTCTTTCTGGTTTTCAAATTATGTGATTGATCAACTGCTTGACTGCTTTTTAGCCCTAAGCGGCTCATTATCAGTTATCAGTTAATTTAATATCTGATATTTATAATTATAAGTAGTAAATTTTGTGAATATTTTATACATAAACATTTGACTCTAAAATGCCTACTATTATCATTTTGAAGTACACCCTAATGTAATAAATACATATGTAACATTTGTTGTACGATATTCTTATAATATTATAAATAGTTACAGTTAAACTATTAAACTATTTTATTGTCTTGTTGTTCTCATAATTTGAAGATTTTAGGGTTATTTAAAATGTTTATTGTTACACTAAAAAGTATTTTAGCAAATCTGCGATACAATCAATAACTATTACATTTTCAATTCGTTTATATGTGTGTTCTATGTATGTTCTATGTATGAGTAAGAAGTTAAAGAAGTAAGATAAAGAAAACTGAAATAAATTCTTGAAATTATTCTCCTATAAATTTCTAACACATATTGTCAAAAATTTCAAAATTTTTTATTTTATTTATAAAAATTTCATGTGCAATTTTAGAGCAAAATAAGAATGAAATGTTCAAAGCTATTAAACTTGAGAAAAGCAATATATATATATATATATATATACAAGTATATATTCTTAATCGTTAAAGATTATATTCTAAATTAGAAACTAACCGGTTATCATAATATCAGTTAAATAACTAACGAATTTTAATAATAGATGGAATTTTATAATCACTGGCAACTATAAACGTTCTGCTTAGTGAAAAACATCATAATATAATTCAAACATTATTCTGCAAAAGTTAGACAAATTTAGCTTTTGTTAATCGACACGAAAGTCTGAAGTATAGTATTCCGACTAAATATTCGATTGGAATGAAATGTTTTAGAGAAAAAGAAAAAACTTGAGTCGAAAATGAGAATCGTTATTTAAAATGTTTGGAACATGTAAGTCTCTGTATACATATACGCCTACTGACAAAAGTTAAAAAACAATTTAATTAATATGTAAGAACTTTGTTATACAAATATATTTAATAAATAATCATTGTATTTGTTAAAAACAAATATACTTGTATAGTAGCTTATGAATATACTTGTGTTTCATAACATGAATTTTTCGACTAGGTATTTGCAATGACAATATTTATAACAAATACAATAAATAAAATTTTTAATCGATTCTTATTCATTAATACTAATGAAAGAAACTATGGAAATCTTTGTATATTTTATATTGTTACATTTTACATACTGTTACATTTTATATACTGTCATTTATTCAATGGAATAGTTATTCAACAATCCTAAATATTCTTCCAAAGTAGTTGAAACATTTTTCATAGTATAAAGCGTTAATATTACTATAATAATGAACGTTAAGTTACGTTAGTCTCTAGGCTTGAATCCAATGGAAACATTTATAAAATTACATCAAATGTTAGTTAAGAATTCATTATTTCATCAATACAATAGAATTAATGGAAAACATTGCAAAAATATGGTTTGACATATTTACAAATTTTGTTAATTGAATTGATTAATTGAATCAATGTCTCACAGGTGACATGCAATTATAAAAATCGAAATTTTCTAACATCAGAACTCCTCGAAAACAATAAATAATTATATAATACATTGTTGTTATCATTAAAAGCGATTGCACAAATCGAGCACGATATGTTTCTCAATTTTTGTCGCAAAGATTCTGACCAATACTCATTGCATGACCTTTATAAAAAGAAATTCCGAAACATTTTTATATTCTGTTAATGATACATTACTTTTTCACACTATTTTTGTTTTCAATTCATGTACTTTTGGAATTAAAGAATGAAGAATAATTTTCTAAGCAACATTTCTGTCACTAAGTGTAATTCGAACACATAAATTATTTTCAATGATACTGAAGATGATTTGCACGTGTATCTAATGACAATAAGAAAGTTCATTCCACGATCATTTTGAATATCTCTCAAGATCATTATTATTCTTTGCACATTAACGTCTGTTTTTTATTATGCGATCTATTAGTCAATATTAAGGCGATATTGTGACATCGTGATATTGAAACAGTGTTACTTAAACAGTAACATATTTTTCATTATTTCTTAACTAGAAATTAATTGGTATACATACCTCATATCTTACAGATTAACTACTTTTTAATTATTTATTGACATGTTGGGAAATCATTGTTCAGCAATTAGTGTAACAATGCATGTGCGAATTTGATATATGGATGAAGGATAGATATCAGAGATCGAAAAAGTTAAAGGAATTTTTAAATAGGTTTAAATTTGCCATATGAATTTGTAGAAGTTTTTCGAAGAATGTTCTCAAGCTTCGAGCTTCCCGATGAGAATAGATAAATAAATGTTCTTAGATGTAATAGTTTCAGACAAAATAGAACATATGAAATAGAGAAATAAAAATTTCTCGGAAGATAATTTGTTCATCCATAAAGTTCTCAGTATTTGTAGCAAAATATCAACAGTAAATAAATAGTGCTCAAAGATAAAAAATGGATTTTTAATTAAATGTTCTAAAATAATTTGTTTCCATGGAACATACGAAATATATAAATTCGAATTTCCTTAAAAACGAAAAAGTTATGAGAATGTTAATTCCGATTCCTGATAGATACGCAGATGTAAATACGAACATATCAACTCAAACACTCGTGATAAACGAAAAAATGACTAGCTTTCGTTTAAAAGATATCCTTAAAAGCTCAGATAATCATGTGCATGTGCGAAGCTTACATTTTTTTAACTAACTTTTGTATAATATGTTTAACGGCATCCGAGTTGAATTGCATTTTTGTTGTTGGACTTTTGTCAACAATCCACTTTCAAAATCCATGAAGAATGACACTCATCTCTAATTTCCGGAAAGACACGTTTCAAATTAAAAAATTTTGCACAGCGATTTGTCTAAATTTCACTTTCTTTCTGTCCGCAACACTTACATATCTTTACAAACACTTACATTTTTATTTTCGTCCTCTCGATATTCCTTCGTCCTTCAAGAATCCTTCCGCTCCATCGCAAAGAATCCTCGAATCTGCAAGCTCTGGTTGAGTTTCGACCGACCCAACTTCCTGTTGACGCGTCGTAGTTTTGTGCCAGAGACAAGGGGGTTAAAAACAGGGCGCCATTTTGTTGGTCGGAGGGCCAACCGGAGGTACACGGCGCATAATATCGTAAAGTTTCGTTAAGGACTGTCCGGCGCGTTCTCCTCCCAAGCCAATATCGTGTTCATGTCCTTAATGCCGCGTGTACTCCACGGTTCGAGCGGATCCGTAGGCGATGTCGCTGGTGAAACCGCCTTATTCCGCTCGATCGATTCTCTTCTCCTCAGGGCAGTCTCCTCCATTTCCTTGGGCGATACCCTGTGCATGCATCGTGCCGAACAGAAACTATTAAACGAACGGTCAACTGTTGGTGTGCTCTAACATTGCTTCCGATCGGGATTCGGGGAACAAGCTCTTTCGAACTTGCGATTTGGGAGACCTTAGGATAAGATAGGGTTTGCGTTCGATTCGATTTTTCTGCGTTTTTTTGTATTTTTTTTTTTTTTTTGTCTCTTTTTTTGGTTGGACTTATTTGAGACTAGACGCTGAAATATTATCGAAATACATTGAAAAAAGTATGTTTCAGGCAAGAATTATTTGAAGAAATTTTCGCAAGTAGATCATACTTTCAAATTGGAATTACATAATATTTAATTTGATCCATCCTTGGTGTTCCCTATAAAGAAATTTCAATCTATGTATGTCGATGAAACATTAGTTTAACAAATATTTTAATTTCATATTTTAACTTTTTCTTTTAATTCATCGTATTACACAACGAGGCTAAGTAAGATTACATAGCAAAGCGATAAGTATTACTTTTACATTATCCTTGTTTTCATTGTCTCGCTTCTTTTCTTGTCTTGTATATAAGTTTCGCAAAATTAAAATTAAAGTTAAAATATTTGCTAGATTGATTTTAGAACGTAAATAAATACGGTATATTTTTATAAAGAATAATGAGATGAATGAGCTTAACTGCTAAAAATACGAAAAAATGTTTCAAATAATCGTTTCGTTTTTATTTTGCTTTTTCATCGAGATAAGAAGGTCACTTTCAATTTTTGTAAATAGAATGATGTGCTTTTGGATTTATTAATCGTTGAGTTTCGACGTTTTCTACAAAAAAGTATTAATTTATGTATTCCGAAAGATTATTAATTTGGAAAATATTATTCCTCCTGGAAACCACGCAACTTGTGTTTGAAACATTTTTTCGTATTTTTAACTGTTAAGTAAATAATTATGTACAGGAAATACGTATATTAAACTATATGTTTTTATTAAAAAAAGTAAAAGCAATCTTCATATATTCTCCTATTCGTCCACAAAATAACTAATTATATTAACTAGTATTTTCTTTGAAATAAAACAAAATCCCCTTTGAACCATTTCTTATTACGATTAATACTTTCGAAAATTTAATTTCTGTAAATGTTAATTTTTAAACTCTAAATGACTTATCCAATACAAAGGATGTTGAAATTGAATGAAAGTATAGTATTTCAGGAATTGTTGTGATACACCATAAAAAGTATAAAAAAAAAAATGCTTCAGTTCAAACGTTTTATTTTTAAATAATTAAAATTGGAATTCTCTCTGGAACTTAAAAGTATTAACGCCAATGTTATTGTTAACTATGCAACAATTTAATATTTAGAAAAATATTCACTTCACTTCTCATTATCGCGTTCCTTCATTTTCCAATACGAGAAAGGCCAATTAAACAATATAATCCAATCGAGCAGATAATCAACTCGTTGTAACAATATTCACAAACTCGCATCTGTTTTTCCCTTACATGACATAATCTCAATTTGCTCTGGAAACACAATTCACACCTCGTATTTATCCCGCCTAATAAAGTAATACATTCAATTTACCTATAGTAATCGCCAATCGTCACCGATCGTTCCCCACGATTTAAATTCTTTCTTCAACAAGCAATATCGCGTTCGCGTGATTTCCCAGTACTGTTTATCGAACGACTGCATGCATCATGATCCGATTTCGTTGTCCCATGGCGTTCGTTTGAAGAAGAATTATTAACGAGTGATTAATAATTTATCGCAGCATTGGATTCCGTGGAATAATTACAGGGGACGTTGACGTTTCGCTGAAACCAACTGTAACTGTAACAGACGCGTTTCTGTTGTTACACGTCGTAGCGGAGTATTCGAAATTCGCGCACGGTAATTTACATTACTTGTTTCGAATGCTATTCATCATTCACGTTATCCGTATCCCATCGGTCGTTTTAGGATTTCAGGTAAAAATCGCGTGACAAGTCGATGATGGAACGAACGGTCCGGACTCGCGAGAATCAGCGTCGATCACAATGGAAAGTTTCAAGGACTCTCTCTGAGGGAAGGAACAAATTATTTTCTTCAACTTTATTTTAAGATACTTCGAACAAGTTACTGATGGAATAACAGAAATGACGCTGTACTACATTTGTTGTTGAAACCTTAAGAAAATTGTTACTTAGAAAAAAAAATTAACAATTACATTTGAATATATTGTTGTGATTAGAAGTTAAACGTAGAATGTGATTTAATTCATAAAATAATTAATTATCTTACACGAACTTCGAACAAGTTATTGATGGAATAACAGAAATGACGCTGTCCTATATTTGTTGTTGAAACGTTAAGAAAATTATTACTTAGAAAAAAAATTTAACAATTACATTTGAATATACTGTTGTGATTAGAAGTTAAACGTTAAAGAATGTGATTTAAATCATAAAATAATTAATTGTCTTACACGAACAAGTTATTGATAGAATAACAGAAATGACGCTGTCCTACATTTGTTGTAGAAGCCTTAAGAAAATTGTTATATAGAAAAAAAATTTAACAATTACATTTGAATATACTGTTGTGATTAAAAGTTAAACGTGAAAGACTGTGATTTAATTCATAAAATAATTAATTGTCTTACACGAACTTCGAACAAGTTATTGATGGAATAACAGAAATGGCGCTGTACTATATTTGTTGTTGAAACGTTAAAAAAATTATTACTTAGAAAAAAAATTTAACAATTACATTTGAATATACTGTTGTGATTAAAAGTTAAACGTTAAAGACTGTGATTTAATTTATAAAATAATTAATTGTCTTACACGAACTTCGAACAAATTGTTGATGGAATAACAGAAATGACGCTGTCCTACATTAGTTGTTGAAACTGTAAGAAAATTATTACTTAGAAAAAAAATTTAACAATTACATTTGAATATACTGTTGTGATTAGAAGTCAAACGTTAAAGAATGTGATTTAAATTATAAAATAATTAATTGTCTTACACGAACTTCGAACAAATTGTTGATGGAATAACAGAAATGACGCTGTCCTACATTAGTTGTTGAAACTGTAAGAAAATTATTACTTAGAAAAAAAATTTAACAATTACATTTGAATATACTGTTGTGATTAGAAGTCAAACGTTAAAGAATGTGATTTAAATTATAAAATAATTAATTGTCTTACACGAACTTCGAACAAATTGTTGATGGAATAACAGAAATGATGCTGTCCTACATTTGTTGTTGAAACCTTAAGAAAATTGTTACTTAGAAAAAAAATTTAACAATTACATTTGAATATACTGTTGTGATTAGAAGTCAAACGTTAAAGAATGTGATTTAAATTATAAAATAATTAATTGTCTTACACGAACTTCGAACAAATTGTTGATGGAATAACAGAAATGATGCTGTCCTACATTTGTTGTTGAAACCTTAAGAAAATTGTTACTTAGAAAAAAAATTTAACAATTACATTTGAATATACTGTTGTGATTAGAAGTCAAACGTTAAAGAATGTGATTTAAATTATAAAATAATTAATTGTCTTACACGAACTTCGAACAAATTGTTGATGGAATAACAGAAATGACGCTGTCCTACATTTGTTGTTGAAACCTTAAGAAAGTTGTTGCTCAGAAAAAAAAATTAACAATTATACTTGAATATACTGTTGTGATTAGAAGTTAAACGTAGAATGTGATTTAATTCATAAAATAATTAATTGTCGTACACGAACAACTCGTAATTGCGATGTGAAAAGAGAAAGAAATACCTTTTTCTTATTGTTTTATTTATTTTTTTATTTTTCAATTGTGTTTTAACTTTCTTGCGTTTAAAAGTAATATTTAAAATAAATACGTAAATATTCCGTTTTATTCCAACCAATTTTATCTAATTTTAACTAATTTTATCGAGGGATAAAACCGTAAATCAAAAATAAATCATGAGAACAAATGGAATTAGTTTTTCTAATTGTAACATTGAAACATAACAGCAATCCTTCTTTTCTATACACTTTAAAGAACATTCAAAATTAGTCTTTTATCAAAAAGAATGATCTCCTTTCGATTTTATCAAGAATCGCGTTCTTTGTGCAAGGTGCACAATTTTTCATTGTTCAACTTCCAAGTAATCGTGTTTTAGAACAAAGAGAGTACAGTGGACAAGATACTCGAAACTCGAAACTATAGACTAGAGATGTGATTAATCGTTACAATGAAATCATTGTGTGTTACTCAGATTGCACAGTGCTCGTTGTTACCTCGTGAATATAATACAAGACGTTTTGTTCCAGCGTTAGAATAAACTTTATGCATGTATCTGCAACAGAAGTTTGCCACGCGAGATACCTATTCAAACATTCTTCTTTGTAAATTACCTACTAGGTGGCTACGAAAATTTTATAGACAGTGGAAATAAATTTCGACAATTATTATTTCCAACTTATTATTTCTGTCAATATTTTACATAATGTCAGTACCAAATATTACCAATAAAGTTATACTATATTCAAATAGTGAAATAAATCATATAAACGAATGAATTAGGGCAATTTAAAATATCAGTGTAAAATGCTTTATGAAATTAATGAAATTTCATTGCAAGTTATATTTTATAACAGTTTGAAATTTTTAAAAAATCGATTTTTTTTTCGTTTTGCTTTAAATAGTAGTTTGAAGTCTTAAGAATAAGATAGAAAAGGTTCTAGTCTTTAGAACAGCTTATTTTGTAGTATAATAATAAATCCGCGGATACAGAATAATTGAATTTGTATCACTGTTTACAACTTTAAGCAGTATTATAGAGTGTAAATCGTGTGATTCAAATACTACTTTTGGTGAATCGAATATTAGGGGACTTGGATTCAATTTAGTTGTGAATTGTAAGAACTGTGAACCGCTATGTATAAGTAAAAAAAAGTAAGTAAAGGATACATATGAAAAATGACGTTCTGAAACTTTAAACGCGTTTTTCTCGAAATTAGGTTTTTAGAAACAGTGTGCA